GGGACTCGTGGTGGACCAGCCAGGATGGGCCGTGGCCTGTGTTCGAGGTCCTGCAGCTTTCACTCACTCCGAGGTGCTTCTTATACTCCCATTTGATGGGTGAACAAACCAAGGTGCAGAGAGGTTGTGTGGCCTGCCCAAGGTCACACAACCAGCAGCTGTAGACAGGGAGGGCCAGAAGGAGTTCCGAAGCGGTTTCCACTAGTTCAGGAAATTGAACAAAACAAGACCTAGAGCCAGCCCACCTGAGCTGGGGACCGGAAGTCATCTGTGATGCTCCCCCTCCCACGTCCTGCCCACCAATCATCTGTTCCCAATTCCCAGGTGGTCTCCCTCCCCAGGACTTCGCACGCTGCCCCTTCCTGGCTCCCTAAACCTCACGTGTGTCCCCAGGGAGGTGTGGGCAGGTGTGCTGACTTCCTGCCCAGCTGGCGGAGGTGAGCCCTGCGTCACTGTATTGTACTCCTTCCAGCCTCACCCACCCCGGTGCCGTCGGCTTCCTCTTCCACACAGATGTTTCTAGCTGTTCTTTTTACCAGGCATTAACATGGGCTGCTGTACCAGGAACCAGATCCTTCCCATGGGGCTTAGCAAAGATGCCCTTCCTCCCCACTCCCCCACTCTCTATCCACCTTGTCAGTGGGTGTGTCCAACATACCGTGAGCTGGGCTGGGGGCAGCACGACAGCCTCTACCTTGGCCATCCCACTTCAGCTGGGCCAGAGGGTGGGACAGCAGAGGCAGACCCAAACAAGTATGAAGTCCCTGGTGAAACAATCCTAGACTATGATAAATGCGAGGAAGGAAGCCTACTTGGGATGGAGATTGACAGGACCGGCAGGGGTGTCTGCCTGTGGTTGGGTGGGCTTCATCACTTGAGGAAGCCGGAGCCCCGGGAGGGCTTGCGTCCCGCAGATGGGTCTTCGTGGATGCAGGCCCTGGGGTGGAGGGGGCTTGCCAGGGCCCGGGCCTGCCCCCAGCTCTGGCTGCACACCTTCTGCTTGCCTGGCCTTGGAGAGTGGCCTGGGAAGTAGGGCCCTGAGCCCTTGATAAGGAATGTGTGTTTGCTTTTTTAAGCGCAGTGGGAAGTCACAGGAGTGTTTTAATTAAGCAGGGGAGTGTTGTGATCTGGTTTATATTCTTTAAAAAAATTTTTCTCGTTGCTGTGACTCATTTGGGGGAGGCCGTGTTTGTCTTCTAGGCCAGAGGTGGCGGCCGCCTGGGCCAGAGCGCTACAGTGGGTGGTTGGTGACACACTGTAGAGGTGGAGGTGGGAGGACGTGCTGAGGGGCCAGATGTGGGGGTGCGGCGAGGAGAGGGATCCACGGTGGTTCAGGTTTCTGGCTGAAGTCCGTGGCGGGGGCTGGTAGGTAAGAGCAAAAAGGGAGAGGACAATGAGGCATCTGGAGTTGCAGTGTGGACACGTGTGGTTTAAGATACCAGCCTAGTTCTTGTCCTGGTACAAATGAAAAGGATACATCGATGAGGGTCACTGGCTGGTGGAGGCCCTGGCCCCAGGGTTCGGGTCACCTGTAGGACCGTGGCTCACCTGTAGTCTGTTCCCCTGCCCAGCACACTTACAGAGATGAGGGAGCGCTGTGGTCGCCCCTCAGTTAGGTCCCTGCCTGAGCTCACTGGCTTCAGGAACAGTCCAGGCCCTCCCCACATGGCGCATGCAGCAGTGACGGTTCCTCCTACAGCATGAGCATGACCGGTGGCTCTCACAGCCCTGCACACTCCATGACGGGGTTGGGGGGAGGTCCTGGCCCTGAGCCCCTCCGTGTCTGCAGCCAGGCTGCTCCCTTGCACAGTCCACTAAATGCGGGGCATTTGCTCTGGTCACGGGGCCTTTGCGGGAGAGGTTCTCACTGCCTGAGATAGTCTGTAGCCTCCCTGCCCCCACCACACGGGGGGCTGACAGCTTCGCAGCCATCTGTGTGGCTCTTCCAGGGAGCCTCTCAGACCCCACCTCCCCAGGATCTGGACTCAGGTCCCTCTTGTGGGCACCCTCCCCAACCCCCACACCCCCGCCCGGCATCCCTGGGTCACTGCCTGCTGCCTGCTCCTGTCTTTACACCGAGGACTCCCGGGGAGAAAATATCGGGTCTTACTCCTTTCTGTCCCTAGGATCAGTATGACACTCAGGTGTTCACTGACAACTGCCCTTGTGTTACAGTCCCCTTTCTACACAGGACACCTGCTTTTGTAGTCGCTCCTGAAAAGAGGGGTCGGTTCCTAGCTTGGGGTGGTGGGAGGAATCTCTGGGGGATCTGAGTGTTAGTGAACCATTCTTCCTTTTTTTTTTTTAAGATTTATTTAATTATTTTAGCGAGAGAGAGTGGGGGGTGGGGAGGAAGGGCAGAGGGAGAGAGAGAATCGCAAGCAGACTCTCCACTGAGCACAGAGCCCGACTTAGGGCTCCATCCCACCACCCTGAGATCATGGCCCGAGCCGAAACCAAGAGCCGGATGCTCAACCGACTGAGCCATCCAGGTGCCCCTTACTGAACCATTCTTAACGCTACCCCGGGTCTGTGGGCCTGCTGTGACATCCTGGGATTGAGGGGGCAGGTGATCCCCTGTAGGCTGAGGGAACCAGATGGTGATGGGCCCTTGAGGGGTGACATAGTGGGGTGGGGGAGGCGAAGAGGGGGAGAGGAGGGAGACGATTATATGAGTTTATGACCTGGCAATGCATCATTGACACCATCAACATGCAGAGCCCTGTACCCCCAGCCCAGACACCAAGTGCACATACACCTGCTCTTCCTCCTCCAGGTCCTCCCTACCAGCCTGCCCCCCATCCCCACCCCTGGTCCCATGCTGCCTTTGCATTTTTTACAATGTAGGTCCTCCCTATCCCTTCAGAGTTCCTTCTGGCTGTGCACTGTAACCCTGTATCACCCACTGTGAAATGTGTGCACGGCAGAGGTGGAGGGAGCTGGTGGGGTTTGAAGACCACACACCTGGCTTAAGTTGTGCATATACACTGTGCAGAGAACAGCCACATGCCTCCTTGTCCACTCGTGAGAGCAGAAGGGACACTATTAAATAATTACAACAGGCAGCAGGTGCTCTTGGACTGGCTCTGGGCCAGGTGGGACAAAGGTCACCCTAACTCTAAGGCGCTTAGATGTGAGTGACCTGGGGCTGTGTCCCTATTCTTCTGAGCTTCTAGTTCCTCACCTGCAGAAGGGGATGATGCTTCACGTGGATGTTGTGAGGATCGCATGGGGTAATATCTGGAAAAGCTCCTATAAATGAATCAAATGTAAAAGAGGCTTATCTTGGCTGGGGGTGCACAGCACCCCCAGGGCCGTATTATTAAATGGTCATATTACAAAGTTGGTCATACAGATTGAATCTCCTGAATGGCATTTTCTCCACCCCCCGTCCTCCTCCCTCCTTCCTTCCCAGTGCCTGGCCTGTGCCAACACTTCTCAAATATGAAGCATCACAACTGCTGAAGGGGGCTGTGGAGGATGCTTGTAAATCCAAACTAAACAGATAAGAGGGAGCCGGCTACTTCCCAATTGCTTCCTGAACCAGTTGGCCAGGGCAGAGTTTGCTGTGAGAATTGATTTTGAAATAGCCTGGGAGGCAGAATTACTAAAGATAACTTTTGGAAAAGAAAATTTCATTCTGCTTACTCAGCATGATGGAGCAATTAAAATGCTGGTTTTCCTCCTCTTTGAGAGCTACCCCTGAATAATTTATGGCTTCACCCATAGGAGGCTGTAAGTCTTCACTGAAATACAATGATTTCCACTAAGAGTGGGTGTGGGGCTGCAGGCTGTTCTTGCTACCCGGGAACCCTCCAGATCCTGGCCTCAGTGTCACGGCAGCTCTCGGCCAAGAGCAGTGCCCTTCCAAAAAATGGTTGGTGACTGTGAATATGGTGACCACTTGGCTCTCTGGACCTCAGTTTTTTCTTCTGTAAAATGAGGGCAGTTAGAGCATTAGAAAGCCCTCAGCCCAAGTCACAGGATTTCTGTTGCTAATGTGTCAGTAAAGGTTTCCAAGTTGCCACAACAACCTTGCAAAGCAGGTGTTCCATTTTCTACGTGGGACAGGTGAAGTATTTATCTAAGACTGTGCAGTTAGCTACGAGTAAATTCAGGGTTTCGGCTCCCGACTCTGTCCCATCTAAAACCTGGACTGCCTTGTCATTCTCTTATTTTGCTGTGAAACACATGTTTTTCAGAGACTGTCTAAATCAGTAGTAGAGAAAGGTTGGGTCGGGGGGATGGTTAAAGTTCTGAAGAACGCGCATAGCTTTTATTAGAAATTGCAGTTTGTCTCCTGAAGGGTTATCTGGCTGGCTCAGTCAGTGGAGCATGTGACTCTGGGTCTCGGGTCATGAGTTCGAGCCCCAGGTTGGGCATAGAGATTAGGTAAAAGAGATTTAAAAAAAAAAAAACTTGTCTCTTACAAATCTCTCCATACTGTTAGCCTGGCTTAAGTCACTATATGGAATTGAAAGCCGTATCTCTTAAGGATGTGTGTGTGTGTGTGTGTGTGTGTGTGTATTTCAAATGGCTGTTCCTGCATTAGTCAAGAATTGTGAGGTTTTTATTATATTGGTGAAATTATCTAAAGGAGCCCCTTCAGATTGATTCAGCAATAAATTTCAAGTTGCCACGTGTCCAGTTCCAGGACAGAAAGATGGCAGCCTCACCTGGGTGGGCATTTCAGGCCCTGAGGGGTGAAAGCCTCCTTAGAGAAGTCACCTTCCCTCACAAGAAAGTTTAAGCTTGAAAGCCACGGCCAGGCTCCTGGGCTGGATCGGTGTGTCTTTGCGTCAGTGCCTTTCCACCCCTCTCGTGTCCCTTTCCCTGCGGAGCGGTGTCTGTGCGGGCCGGGCGAGAGCGCAGGGTGTGAGGTGCGGGGGGGGGACCCCGGGACCCAGGCTCGCAGGCGGAGGTGCACCCCGCGGACCCCCCGGTGCCTACCCTGGCTGTGTGCGCTGCTTGCCGCCACAAACCCCCCCCATCTGTTTCAGGTCCAACCCGAAAGATGCCCCCCGGCGCCAGCGCCATGGACTTCTTCCAGCTCTTCGTCCCGGACAACGTGCTCAAGAACATGGTGGTGCAGACGAACATGTACGCCAAGAAGTTCCAGGAGCGCTTCGGCAGCGATGGCGCCTGGGCCGAGGTGACGCTGACAGAGATGAAGGCGTTCCTGGGCTACATGATCTCCACCAGCATCTCCCACTGCGAGTCGGTCCTCAGCATCTGGAGCGGCGGCTTCTACAGCAACCGGAGCCTCGCCCTCGTCATGAGCCAGGCCCGCTTCGAGAAGATCCTCAAGTACTTCCACGTGGTGGCCTTCCGCTCCAGCCAGACCACGCACGGCCTCTACAAGGTCCAGCCCTTCCTCGACTCCCTGCAGAACGGCTTCGACTCTGCCTTCAGGCCTTCCCAAACCCAGGTGAGGCCCGTGTGTGGGTGCCCCGGGCCCCCTGCCCCTGGGCCCCCCACCCCCATGGCAGCCCTCACCTGGAGGGTGCTCCTGCTCTTCTCCTGCCCCCCTAGACTCACAGCTCCCCGCCACAGAGAAGTCAGGAAGCGGGGTTCTGCTCTGACCCGGTTTCCCTCCTCCTTGCCTGCACCCTCCCTCCCCTTAGTGGCGCTGGCTTTCCAGATGATGTGGTTTTCAGGCTAAGGTGAATTTTCTTCTATGAAGAAGAACCTCTAATAGTAACTTTCCTGTGTTCTCTGAGTATGTAGTCCCCTGTTGGTGGTGACAGGGGCTGAAGCCTTGTAGGTGGCCAAGGGAAGGAGGCCAGACTCTCAACCACTCTTCAGGTATCCGGCAGTCACTCAGGTCCTGGGGTCCACATGGCACAGGCGGGGCTTTTGGACCACGGTTTGATAGAGCCCCACAGCTAGCTGTTATGGCCCCCTTCCCAGCTTCCCTCCCTGGTTCTAGAAGGCTCTGTTTGCTCTCAGCTCCTGAGCCCCTGCCTTCTGGTGTTGACAGGTGGCCAGTACCCTTGGCTGCAGGGAGATACGAGGTTCAGAACCATCCTCAAAACTGCTCTCTACTGGTCTAGCAAACTGAGGAGGTGGCTTATTCCTGGGATGCCTCTAACCAAAACTTTACGAAGTTTTTGGCCCACTGGAGCCCAATTCCATTTGACTCGTTCAATGTGGAAACAAAAACCGACATCATTTTTATTTGTACATTTAAAGAGCCATCGGTCCACCCACTCTTCCTTGTGCTTTTCCTTTAAGGGCCTTCTTCATAAACCTCACATTCTTTTTGATGGTCTCCCTTTCCCTGATTCTGTATCTTGCCTTTTTCCCTGTGCAGCTGAAAATCACAGGGTTTCTGTGGGGGAAGATACCGCCCTATTTCAGGTCTGTGGGAGCCTTTAAACAATCTCTGGAAGCATCCCCCCATGCTGTTCTGTGAATATGCTGGGCTCATTATGATTTGCAGGTGGATGCTCTTTCTGACTAGCGGAAGCTTTTCCCTCTTCTCTCTGCCTTAGCAGATGTGTACCCAGTCTCCAGGGCCCGGTGCGAGGCCCGCATTCTCATGCTGGTCCCGCTTTCCTGAATTCCCCCACTATTTATAGGACAGCTGAGTCCCATTCTTCCTTGTCCCCAGTTGTGTCTCTTACCTTCCAAACAGGAGGTGGGCTCTTTTTGGGACACAAGCCCTGCCTTACACAGGCCCCGCAGGACCAAATACAGGGCCGGGCACGTTATTTTTTTGTTTCACTGAATATTTGCTTGGTTGAAAATGAACCCAATCAGAGGCCTGCTGGCTGGATGCAAGGGGAAAAGAACAGTATTCTGACCATCCTCGGGGCCAAACCTTTGAACAGCTCCTGGAAGAGGCTGTGGGCTCGCTCCGGCTGAGTATCTCTTAAGAATCAAACAACCAGCTGCTTGGATGATTGATACTTAACAGTGTAAAGATGAGGTTGCTGAGGATCTTCTAGCTCCTTGACTAGGCCAGGCTTATCCAGGGCTATACTCCTATTTGTGGTGTGGTGAGCTGGCCTCGTGCTGCCTGCCTTCAGAAACTGCGGTGTCAGATACCTAAGACCCATGCCTAGGGCGATCACCATGCATGTGTGTGTCTGGACCCTGGGGTAGCCTGTGGGCACAAGGCAGTGCCTGCTAGCAAAATCTGAGCTTGTGAGCCCGTTCCTTCCCAGCTTGGGCATGGGTGCCCCACAGGGGCCCAGCACATTCCCAAGCCAGCAGTGGCTGGACCGCAGTGCCCATGGGCAGTTCTGCCCTCCTCCCTTTTATGGCTCAGATGCGCAGCGAGGACCACCAAGAGCCTAGAGACACACTCGCTTTATTCTTACCACCACGTCTTTTTGCATCCAGTTGACAAGGCTGAGGGAAGGTCCTAAGATAAGTCTCAGATTGGGGAAGGGCTCCCTCATCATGTTGGGGTTTTTTTTCCTCTTTACTTTTTTCTTTTTTTTTTTTTTAATAGACTTTGATTTTTATTTTTACCTTTGTATTTGTGAAGTTATGTTTTCTTTTTGCTACCATTTTGTATCTGGTGCCCTCTGTTGGTCAGGACCCCAGCAGGAAGCAAGTCCTGTGTTCTAGACGGGCAGTTGAAGAGGATTGGATGCGGGGACCATGGACAGCCGTGGGGTCAGGGTGGGGGGACATGACCGGGCTGGTAGCGACAGTGGGAAACCCAGGTCAGCCGTGGGCCGGAGAGAGGCGGGGTGTGTGTAGGAACACGGAGGTGATGGTGCAGGCAGGCAGGGGCCTCTTCCATGTCTTGCTCCTGCCTCCAAGTTGGCCAAACAAGTCCAACACTGGGCCAGGGGCCTGGGTGGTGTGGTTTATAAGAGGTTGACGTCCAGGCCGCAGTGGGGTGGGAAGGGTGGTAAGTGCATCTTGGGGGCAAACAGAATACCCGGGACACCACCCCACAGACAGGGACATGAGGCAGCAGGAAAGTAAAAGATCCCTTGGACCAGTTTTCCAGTTGGCTGATAATCACACGGAATTCTCCTCTTCTTCCATTTCCCTCCTAACTGTGGGCCCCGCTGAGCCAGCCCTGGATCAGCAGGCAGGAGCAGAGTCACCCAAAGGAGATGCACTCATGAACTGCGGTATATGATTGGTTTTGAACATGATTAGGCCTTCCTGTTAGCCGGGGGTTCCTATAAGTCCTTGTACCCCTTCCTTTGCAGATAAGCAGCTTGACCCCCGTGTGCACCGCAAAGCACCAGCCTTTCTGTGTGGAACAGGACCGTAGCCTCCTGTGAGCTTGCCCGGGAGTGGGGGCGCTTTCCTTCGGCCCCCAGCAACAGGCACATTGTGCTTGGTTCCTACACTTACTTTTTTCTCAAAGATGCTTCTGCCTCGTAGAAAAGGTTCCTGTTCTGATCCTTGATGGGAGAAGCTGGAAATTCTAAAGGTTTCCTGGTTTTCCACCTTTTCTCCTCTGTGAAAAGCCCCTGTTTAGACTCTGGATCATTCATTCAGGTAGAAGGGGATTGAACAGTGCGTTCGGTTGAGAGTGGCCATCTGCCACGCCGGAGCCTCAGGGCCCCTGTGAAGGGTCTTCACTCTGCCTGCTGAGGGCCGTTGGCACGGTTCTCCATCATGTGTGGCTGGATCGGCTCCAGGCTCCCAGGCATCGCTCTGCATCCTGCACCTTCACACACACTCCACCCTCAAAACACACGGCCCACTTGCCTCGCAAACCACACACCCCCTCTGCCCTGCCATCTCTGGAGCCTTTCTGCTCCAGCAAATGTGACCCTCTGGGATGATTTTAGAACTTTCACAGAGCCTTCAGAAACCTGATGGTTCTCAGAGTCTAACAGTAACCCACATGGCCAGGTGTCATGTGTGTGTCCACACCCGCATTTCCTCAAAACTGGGGGCAGATTCATTAGAAGAATATTTTCGGGAAGGGATTATGCAAGTAGGTAAATGGATGCTTTGTCTTTCCTCTACCATAACCACTCCACACCCCAAAATGAGCTGTCATACAGAGAAGGGGACTCAGGAAACACAGCTGGGTAATAGAGCTGCGGGCCAGCCAGCAGCCTGGAGGAGAAGGAAGTGGTTTTCTGGCATGTATAGCTTTCATGCAGTTTGCTTTGGTGAGGCCAGTGATGAGACATCAATGTGTGGCTGATTCTGTGTAAATGCCCATGGACTAGAGGTAGGTTGGCTTCCTGAAGAAGAGGGAGGGAGCGAGGGCAGTTTTTTTTTTTAAAGATTTTATTTATTTATTTATTGGAGAGCGAGCGAGAGAGAAACAGCATGAGAGAGGAGAGGGTCAGAGGGAGAAGCAGGCTCCCCGCTGAGCCGGGAGCTCGATGTGGGACTCGATCCCAGGACCCTGGGATCATGACCTGAGCCGAAGGCAGTCACTTAACCAACTGAGCCACCCAGGCGCCCTCGAGGGCAGTTTTATGTACTGTGGCTTCACAGGGGGCTGAGTAGGACCTGTTTCCTGAGCTGGGGGAGTTGAGCAGGGAACAGGCAGGCAGCCAAAGGGCTTCTTTCTGCCATCCCCGCTCCCCAGCTCCATGTCCCCACAGTGTGCGGGACTTGTCCATTTTGCTACAGTGGTTCCAGATGGGGCTTTGAATGTTTTATAAGCCCACGGAGTTAGCAAGGCACTGTGGTCAGACGGGGAGGCCAGACTTAACATCCGCATGCTTCCAACAACACAACAGTCTGGGACCCAGACTGAACACTGCGAGTCTGTTGTTTTTTGAATGGAATTCAGGGGAGCACTAATGGAAGGATGGGAGGATAGTGTCCAAATCACAGGTTGGTAAGTATTGTCCTCCAGTCTGCCCTTGTCAGAGCGTGTTCTGACATCACCTGGGAGCTTGTTGGAAATGCAGAAGCTCAGGCCCTGCCCCAAACAGACTAGTTCAGAATTCGCTTTTCAGGGACATCCCGGGTGCCTGGTTTGTTCATTAAAGTTCCAAAAGCCCTAGTGGAGAGCAGGGGTTGGAACACTTTTTCTGTCGATGGCCAGATGGTCTCTGCTGCATCTTGTCCAGTTTGCTGTTGTAGTCCAGGAGCAGCCGTTGACAATATATCAGATCCCAATAAAACTCTTATTTACAACAGGGCGGTGAACCAGACTCTACCATAGTTTGCTTCTAGGTTCTTGGAATCCTATCATTTCCCATATTCTTCATGTCCGTAAAATCCAGACACATATGCCAATTCATAATTAAGCTTGAAATAGGACTAGGGGGAGAAGTGTAGCAGATTCCTAAATTTACCCAAAAGTCTCCCCAGAAAAGCTTGAAGAAGCAAAACTTTGACCACCGTGTGGAGCCTGGTTTTGTTAGGCCATTTCTTTTTACTTTATAGTCTTGTCATTGGAAGCGTCTTACAACCATGTTATAAAGAAATTGAAATAGGTGAAATAAGTTTAAAAATTGCCTTGGGAATCCCGTGTCTGGAAGGACACAACAGTGTGGAGGAAAGCCAGAGGCCGGGTCATGGCGACAAGGCCACAAAGCACTGGGTTCATTTCAGGGCAGATTTTAAGGAGACATTGTTCAGCCTTGGGGGAAAAAGGAGGTTGTGGGCCAGTGTGAGAGCGGTCTTGAATACCTAAAGAAATAGTGTGTGTTTTTCTTTGTTTCTTACAGGGACAGAAGTCAGATTAAATGTAGGTAGATTTTGAATCCATGAGGGAAAGGACTTTTTAGCAGTTGCAGCTGTCCGTCAGAAAGGGCTTTCCTGGGCGCCTGAGTGGCTCAGTTGGTTAAGCGACTGCCTTCGGCTCAGGTCATGATCCCAGAGTCCTGGGATCGAGTCCCGCATCGGGCTCCCGGCTCGGTGGGGAGCCTCCTTCTCCTTCTGACCCTC